CACACACACACACACACACACACACACACACACACACACACACACACTTCCCTATTCCTGGCCACAGGACAAGCTCGACAATCCATCTGTTCTGCTCACCATCCCGGCGGTCTCTAAATTTCCCTAGTTGTTATCAGCTATCCCTTTTATCTAGAGAATGACTGCTGCTTATGAGCCTGTCGCTACTTTTATTTCTGTCACTCACTGCTCTGTACTAACAAGGCGGCCAGCACTTAGGGTCTGCTTGTTGTTGTTTTTTATTTTTTAATCGTATTCCGTACGTCAAAGACATTTACTTCCAAATCTCGCTCTGACCCACTCTTCCACTTTCTCCTCCCTTTCACTTTTATCTTTTCCCCCTATTTCGTGGGATCTCTGAGCAGCACAGATCCCTCGCTTTCTGCCTTCGGGCTTCCTTTTGGCAACCACACCCCCCCCACACCCTCCCAAGAGGCGCGCATGCGCAGCCCACGCCTTTACCTGGGCGCTCGGGAGTGGGCGGAGTGGGCGAGGGCCGGGGGTGGAGCAGGCAGCCGGCGGTTATCTGCGCGGCTGAGCGCTCACATTGTGGCAGGAGGGAGAAAAGGTGCGCCCGGGCCGAGCCGAGGGCCGCGCATGCGCGCCGACCCCACAGGCGGGGATGAGGGAGGGGGGCGGGCGGGGAGGCGTCCGGGATCCCGGGCGCGCGGGGCGGGGGGCGGGGGGGAGCCGCGAGCGCAGGGGCGCGGGCGCGCGCGCGCGCGCTCCCGCCGGCCTCCCTGCCCCCCTCGCGTTCACATCCCTCCGGCGCACCCCCCTCCCCCGCCGCCCGCCCCGCGGCCCCGCTCGGCCTCGCGCGCTCGGGAGGGAGTCGCGAGACGTCGGAGCGGCGGCCACGTAGCGCTGCGGCGGCGGCGGCCGAGGCCGGGTCTGAGGAGCGGCCCAGAGCGCAGACGTTGGGCAGGGGGAGGGGCCGGCCCGGCGGGCGGTGGGGACTGGAGCGACGCGGCGCGGCGCGGCGACAGGCCCCCGCCGCAGGGATGGGCCGCCGAGGCGGCGGCGGCGGCGGCGGCGGCGGCGGCCCGGGTGAGTAGGGGCCCC